TAAAGACCCCTATGCGCAAGCAAATCATTGAAATCAAATTAAAACCATATGTTAGTCCCGAAATGACCTAGTTTGTCTCGAGTGGACGTTAAACCCCATTTCTCTCTCTCTCTCTCTGTCTCTTATATGAAAACACAAGTGACAGTTAGCCTTTAATGATTATAGACAATTGATCTGAGAAAGTGAATTAATAATAATAATAACTAGCTAGCCAGTCAATAAAAGGATTGACCCTAATCTTTCTATGGGTAATGGATTCTCTTGAGTTGTTTTTCTCATGTTTTCTACCTAATTATGATAATTGAGATTTATGTGAAAATGGTTGTGAATTAACAGTTACAAAACAGAATTATATGTCTGAGTGCTATCAAGTAGCTTTTAGCTTCTGACCGACTAATTCCGAATTGTTGCTCCAATTAGGGGTTTGTAATAACTATAGTACTGTTATCATTCAGCGAGAGTGACTCAGTAGGTAGGACGTTGACTTCCTAACCTGGCGGTTCCATGTTCGATCCCTGCATTGGTCGCAAAAGTTCATCTGGATTTTCTGACTTCGTTCTTCCTTGTCAGTGGTGCAGTACCGAGGGCCCGGCAAAGGACAATGTATGGTCGTTCGAATGGGACGAAAAATCAAGGTCCCGTGAACACATTGGTGTGAATGTTAAAGATCCCTTATTATTAAAATAAAAATTCACCGTATGTTAGTCCCGAAATGACCTAGTTTGTGTCAAGTGGATGTTAAACTCGTCTCTCTCTCTCTATCTATCTCTCTCTCTCTCTCTCTATCTATCTCTCTCTCTCTCTCTATCTCTCTCTCTCTCTCGCTCTCAGGCAGCAGTGTCAACAAACAACTGACAACAAGTTTTTGTCTTGCATTGTTTAAACATCATGGTTTAATATACTGGTACATCAATGCTGCCCTTTATACATCAATATACCTATGCTGCCTTTATACATCAGGGGGGTTGGATGGCTGAATGGTTAGCGTGCGCGCGCTGTATCATAAAGTCTGTCATTGAGTCGACTGGCGCGGTTTCGAATCCCCGGTTGTACGTGACAAGGAGTAGGGTCGCCTGTCCAACCTCATGGGTTTTCTTCGGGTCCTCCGGTTTCCTACCACTGCTAAAGACCCCTATGCGCAAGCGAATTATTGAAATAAAATTAAACCATATGTTAGTCTCGAAATGACCTAGTTTGTGTCGAGTGGACGTTAAACCCCATTTCTCTCTCTCTCTTTATACATCAATGCCATCGAAGGAAAAAGATATGTTAAATATTTCATGTAAAATCAAGCCTTCAGCCTTCCAAAATTGACAGTTGTTATTTTGCAAACAGGTGAACAACAAGAAATTGATTGGGAGGGAAATGTCACATTTTCTTTTGTATTATGATGTAGAGCATTTCAGCAGATCAGAGTGACCTACGCAATATGAATCCGATACAATTCAAACAAATTTTGAAGGTTTCAATCTCATCAAAAATGAAAATTGTAAAACACTTTTTGATCTGAAACAAACAAATTAGATCTCAAAAATAGCAGAAACTAATATATTTATAAATGGTGCTAAAATTTCAATTTTGAAAAAAAAAAGGAAGTTTTCACGCAGATACTGTAATTGCGTACAACTGATGTCTGCTTGATAATTGATTTTATTTTCACGGAACAAAATGTCAGGATGTTGTTTTGATTTTATTTGATTTACTTTTTATACGTCTGCATCGAAATGTCGTCGTATATTGTCGCCCTCTAGAGGTCACAATTTTTATCCGATTTTGATGAAACTTAAATGTTTATAAGATCTCGGTTCCTGCCGATATTAGCACATATTGGATGGTAACTTCCTGGATTATGGACCCTGATTGTATGAAAAATCGCATTTTTAGCTTATGGAGCCTTTAGAGGTCACAATTTTTATTTGATTTGAAAACCTGTTCAACTATATCACCATTACATGGTAATGATGGGTGAGTTTGAATTGCATGACAATCAGACCGGACCATAACATCACCATTATGGCCCTTAATTGTACAAAAAGTCTATCCATTTCTTGCAAAATGTGGATGTATTTTGCATGGTAGTCACTTGTTATTTCAGAAATTGATTTTTTCTCCTATTCAAGTTCACAAAAATATGTGATTGAATTTGATTTGTAATGAATATATTTCATCTTTATTGATTTTTTTTCTGCATTTGGAAATATACACGTAGTTGAGTAGATCTGAATAGAACAGGATCCTTTCGAAGGTTGGGGTTGATTTTTTGCGAGGGCAGAATTAAAGAGATCTGCTGCTGTGATGTAAGGCTATTAGAGTAATTGATTATTAGTAGGATGGGTCGATAGACATGTGATGTTATTCTCAATAGTTATCTGTCTTGGTAAAAAAAAAAAAACAAACAAAAAACGAAACCCATTTGATGTTTCTTAAGACATTGCTTTCGTTCCAGGTTCTTACCATAATTGATCAGTGTGGAACTTAATAGGACATTGGTAATAAGTCTACTGATGCACAAGCAATTGGGGATTTGCTTGACTCTAGAATAGAATTTGGTGTTCTGTATTTAATTTCATGGTTGTTACATTGATCAGAGGAAACTGTTTGATGGTCTGGGATATTAGTCTTTTCCTTTCTCCGACACCAAATCAAATATGATATATGTACTTTTGTAATTGGTAATATTTATCCAGTTGTTGAAATTTTCATGTGGTTAAAGTACTATAGTATTGCCAGAAACCAATTAGTTGTGTGTATTAATGATCAGAAAACATTCTAATGACAACAGCCATTAACAAAAAGACACAATTTTACTTACTGAATTTATTAATGGGTATACAGAATCATTGGACAGATCGCCATACTTATATGGTGAATTTTCAGACTTTAAAGTAGCTAAGTCTCTAAATCAATATCATTCAAAGTCTTCGTCATTGAAAACACAAATTTGTTTTTTTTGTTGTCAATTTAAATCAACATTGATGTTGTGATCTTACCGGAAAAGATGGCTTCTGATATCCAATATTTAAGACAAAATAAACAGTTTATATACATGTACATTCATATTACATTATTATTTGTGTTGCAGCCCATTTGTGTCAGTTACTAGGTCTCAATTATTAGCAATTAGCTCCTTTAAAGAATCGCAGCTGAACCCAAAAATCGGAAGTTTAACCAAAAACAAAATGAATATTAAATTTTAGATTTTATATGATTCCAATAAGCCACAAAGTTACGGTCCAATACATGCTCATATCAAAAGGATCCAAGATCTTTGAGATATAACGGCAGCATGGCATTACTTCCTGAAGTGGTGTATATGTATCTGCCATAATTAGAATATTTATTGACAAGAATGATAATTTCAGGTTTTGCAAGATAAGAGCCATTGTGCAGTATTTGAAACTTGAGAAGGCAATAATACTTGGAGAAGTAAATGAATTTTAGATTAGTTATTTCAGTCCATGACGTGGAAAAAACGGAGAAGAATTGTATCCTAAAGGGGAATAAAGTTTGATCGATTAATATTTATACTTTGATAGAAATTGTCTGTGTTCTAAATATCAGTGGCGATTATGTTTTTATTAACTGTTTACGCTTAGAGTCCTTTTAACATTGCATTAAATTGAACGCATGGTTATCACCTTCTCCATATTGCTGCCTTATCCAATAAAATCTTGAGTAAATTATTCGGTTTGGAGGACGATGGTTCCATAAATATGAGAAGCCCCCTACTAACCATAGTAATTGGTATTTTCTAATAGTTAGATTGGGTTATAAGTCTAATCATTAATGGCTTGCTAGATTGAATGAAAAAGCTAATGCTTAGCTAAGAGCCCACTCTGGCATCAAATCAGTTGAAATCCTTATTTAGGTTTGAAAAAGACCATTTTCATGTCTTCATCGTTTGGTGTTTGTCTTACCGCGGAGCCAGAAACATTACTGAAATTATACCGGGTCTTGATACGTTTGTTAGAGATTTAATAGCTATTTTGATATTGGTTTATGGTTGCCTGCTGTTTTTGATTTTACAAAAATAGGATGAAGCCAGAAGATAAGGTGGCGAAGAGAGAATTTTATTGATTAAAGTGATTTGTCATGTATTTTTTTTTTTATGCTTTTGCTATTATTTATTTCAATAATATCTGGATAAAACAAGAAGATAATGATGTCAATTTCTTCGTCTCTTTCACAAGAATTGGTTTATACTTATTTTTTAATGGATTTTAAAATCAGTTCATCATGGTTGTAGACAGAAAAATGCATTTATATTAAACATACATTATGCAAATTATCTAAATTATTAATTAGACATAAATTAACTTTTCCAGACAATACTGAACATCGATTGCATCGCTAGCCTGCGATATTTAGCGGATTGGAATACATTTTTTGAAGGATGATTGAAAGTAAAAATGGATAATCGAAACTTTGTTTTTTATCGTACCGACTTTAGTAGTAATGATGATCAAGGCTAGCCTACAATTCAAAAGCTAATAAATAATATCTTGGTTCCGAGTGGAGCAATTTGACTGAAATTTTCAGCATATTCTATTTGAGTTATCTATTTTATAACTATTATAGCGAAAACTGTCAACTCTTTAATCTACCTTAATGCCCCTTTAAAATTATATGCAAAGGCCTCTCACCAGTAAGCTAGATTATTTATATAGTGAGGTCAGGCCCCAAGTTCACAAAAATTCTCAGACTTAAATTTACTCAACATTTAATCACTGTTTATGACAAATATCTTTGATCCAGAAACACACAACTTTGCATATTGATATATTTGATACATTAAAACAACAACAGTTTTATAAAGGGCTTTATTTCAGTTAAAATAAGGCGAACAATTTTGAGTAAATGTTCCTGTGACCTACAAAAAAAATAAATATGCGATAACCTTTGTGGGCTGCTGTGGGTATATGTTTCATTTCCTGGCAATCTATCTTTACATGGATATTCAAGCTAACATTTTTATATTGTTCTTGTTTTTATCGTTTCAGAGATGGAAGACTACAGGAAAGGGATCAAATATTGGCAATAGATGGTCAGCCGTTAGATATCTCCCATCAAGAGGCCATTCGTATTTTGCAATCTGCCCAGGGGTTGGTAGATTTAGTAGTAGCCCGTGGTCCAATCCCTGAATTCGACGAACCACAGGCTGTCACTGAACCACAACTTGAAGAAGTTGATGCCGAAGAAAATTTCGCAATCCCCAATTACGTTGAAAAGCCAAGTGACGACAGCTCGGACAAAACAGCCGACATGGTGGTAAGTACGTAATAAAATAAATGATGAATATTGATGTAGAAAGTATATAAAAAGTAAATTATTATATTTATATGTTATTGGTGTCATGAGATTCAGAATAATTTGAGGCAAAATATACATACTATGATACAAATACATTTATGTTACAAATGTGCAGGGGGTACTTTCTCTGCAGCCTGACTCCGAGTTCACAAAGCATTCTCAGACTTAAGTTAAGAATTTACTCAACTTTCAATCACTGTTTATGAGAAATGTCTTTGATCTAGAAACAAATAACTTTGCACATACATGTAGTTTCTTATTGATGTATTTCATACATTAAAACAACAAATGTTTTATAAAGGGCTATATTAGAGATAAAATAAGGGGAACAATTTTGAGTAAATTCTTAACTTAAGTCTGAGAATGCTTTGTGAATTCGGGATCTGGTTCTTCAATTAATGGATTATGTAAACCCTGTAGTTAGTTATATTCCTGAAGCAATGGTCCAAGAAATCCCTCTCTGCCCATTGCTGGATTGGCTTCTGATACTTGAGCTTTTGAGGGAGTGTGTGTTTTCTTCCTGTTCAATCAAATCTATCCCAAGTACAGCAACATGACAGCCCTTCGTTTAATCTGGGATCTTCCTTTGGACAGTGATTTAAGGTATTAAAAACGGTGAAAGTATTCTTCATCTCCATACAGTATTATTTACATTGTTATGTAACGTTATGTAAACATATTCGGTCCAATTTGGAGCTTTGTTTAAAATGTAACGATATTGTTATGCAGTTAGCTATTGGTTGTTAATCAGACTATTGACCAGTCATAACTTGGAACAGAAATCTGCTTCCATTAAAACAGTGTTTAGTGGGATTAGCTCTAATCAAACAAAACACTGCGAGGAGTATGGTAGTTAGTGTAAGGAAACCCTAGTGATCATTTCCAAAAGGCTCAATATTTTGATTTTAAATTTTCAGATAGGTAAATAGGCTGTATCATCACATTTTCTATTTTGAGTTACGTACTTGAATTCACTTTTATTTGCAATGACTTGTGAAATCTGGTACTGTTCCTCAGTTAATAACTTCAAAAGACCTTGCTTTAGAAAATAGAGGCGTGCAAAGGATCACTCTGGCAAGATTTTATTGGAAGTTGTAATTTACAAAGTGTATTGTTTATGTGCTATTTCTAGCCATTAACAGATCTGAAGTGAGTACCGGTAGATGTTTGCTCACCTGCTTCAAGTATTCAGGCAAGTTTTGGTGAGGGCAAGCGAGCCAGTGATCACTTTGTTGGTTCGTGCTAATCTGGTTGGAAAAGACAAAAACATAACTTTAAAGGGGCTAAATCGCTAATATTTGGAACCTAGAAATTAACACAAATGGGTCGCAACTCATACAATAATATAATATGAATGTATATAAATTGATTTACATTCAATCGTTTCTGTTTTTACTGTAATTTCTAATCAGTTATGTTCGGCGAAATACGCCAGAAGTCTCAACCGAATGACAATCTCTAGCGTTTGGTTATTCCAGTCTACACCAGTAATATTTATTGCGCTTGCTCTACAGATAAGAATATGGTGTCACCGTTTGACATGACTTGTGAAATATGCCTTGCCTTGTTTTTCGAGTCCTTTATTACAAATAGCGCTGAAACGCACTATGGTACACGATTCGTGTACCAATCGTATAATGTTTTTTTCTTAAATATTGGATTTCAGAAGTCCATCTTTTCCCGGTAAGATCACAACATCAATGTTGATTTAAATTGACAAATAATTCGTGTTTTCAATGTCAAAGATTTTGGATAATATTGAATTAGTGACTTAGCTACTTTAAAGATATATTCTATAAAATTATTAACATTTTTTTTTTTTTTCAAACAATATTTATTCACAGAAACTGGATTGGAAAACAGGCAGAAAGAAGCCTATAAACCCACTCTCCATAAAAGTACAAACATAAATATATATTGACAAGGTGTAAAATAGAAAAAAAAAAAGAAAAAAGAAAAGTAAAGTAGAGGATGATTAAATTATAAGATGGCTATATATACGCTATATACACAATATGTACAAACCACAATCAGAATATTTATATTTCATGCATACAGAATTTTCAAAATCTTTGGGAGATGTCGAGGAAGTTAAGTACTACAGAAAAAATGTCTTCAGGCTTGTTTCTATCTCCAACTCTGAATAATTAATTTTGAGAATTATGATAAAGTTGCAGGAGTTTTGATATTTATGACATTCCCTCTTATAACATCAATGAAAAAAAAAAAACTATCAATATTCTAACACCAGGTTCTAATGTCACCTTAGAGATAGGAAAACAATTTGGAACTCAAGGAATTAATTTCGGAAATGTCTATTTGTTGACAGAATGTAAAAATAGTAATTTCTGTTCTTGACATGTCTTTTATGGTTAAATTTCACATTTGCCTCACTCTTCTAGAAAAAGAGATATAGAATTCACTATAGAATTTGCTACAAGTGGGAATTCTATATTGAATTATCATAAATCTCATTCAACTGTGATAATGAGGTGAACAGTTCCAGCAAATTTAATAAATGGACACCAAAACTCAATTTTCGTTTGTGGCAAGTATTTGGATTCTGTTACACTAAGGTTTGAGAGGTTGGATTATTTGCTCTTTGTGTATGAATTCAATGACTTTTTCATCCTACTTGATTCCCCCCCATCTACTGAATACCAATATGAAGATTTTAGCGGAATATTTCTTCTAAACCAGGAGGTTGGATGGCCGAATGGTTAGCACCTGCGCGCTATTTCATAAGACCTGTCATTGAGTCAACTGACATGGTTTTGAATCCCCGGTTATACGTGACAAGGAGTAGGGTTGCCTGTCCAACCTCGTGGGTTTTCTCCGGGTCCTCCGGTTTCCTCCCACTGCTAAAGACCCCTACGTGAAAGCGAATTATTGAAATAAAATTAAAAACCATATGTTAGTCCTGAAATGACATAGTCTGTGTCAAGTGAACATTAAACTCCATTTCTCTGTCTCTCGCTCTTTTCTTCTGGAGCAACCTGACATGATACGAATTGATATTAGATATTCCTTTAACACCACAACTTCTTGAAAATTCAAAAGCATACATACTCTTACTTGACCAAAAACAGTAAATCGTTGTAAAATTTGTCTTTGACAGAAAGCAAACAGTGACTCATACTCTTTGATAATATGTGTTGTTTGGTTATGGTGTCAAAGGCAATCGATTTCTCATTTTGATTTGAGTCAGTTTGCTTAGTTTGGTTTCATCTAATGCAATTTTGATTTTGAATAATAGAACAGCTCAGCTAAAAGGGCTGAACAAAAATATCTTTCTTATTCAACTTCAATAACCTGAAGAACTAGATAAACTTTTTTGAAACAGATTTGATTGATCGATTCACCTGTATTAAAGACGTCAGTTTCATATCGTGTATCTTATTGAAACTAATACGACCACTAGTGGCAGCACTTGTCCCTTTTATAGAAATCCACTTGTTCTCTGTCAAGTTATAGTCGAGATGACATTGGGTTTTATGCAGCCTTTTTTTATTTTGTCACGTATGTGAAATATTAAAATTTAGATATATCAAATTATTTTTATCCCAAAAAATCATCTAATTTCAACTTAAAACTGTGGTTGTGTGGAGATTATGTTCTGATAACAGACATGTATTGGTAAATTTGCATGTCAACAAGACCCGATAAATGAAAATATTCCTCACCGTATATTTCTGATATAATTTCTGTAATCCTGTCAGTTTACTTGGTAATTTCATCTCAAACTGTGATTATTACATAGACATTTATGCTCTGCAGAAAGTGCAGTATACAAGATTTAGATAAAAAGATGGACGTCCTCGCTATAATAGTTCAAAATAAGATTATGAGAAATGAATATATTGAAAATTTCATTCTCTGCGAAGTTAAAACTGTTTGAAGATATAGTGTAGATCGTTTATTAAATTTTATAAATTTTGTGGATATAAGATTTAGATAAAGAGATGGACGTCCTCGCTATAATAGTTCAAAATAAGATAATGAGAAATGAATATATTGAAAATTTCATTCTGTGCGAAGTTAAAACTGTTTGAAGATATAGTGTAGGTCGTTTATTAAATTTTATAAATTTCGTGGATGTTTAAATCCAATTGTCTAGGAAGTTGATTATAGGCTAAATATTAATTTATATAACATTTGAAACCAAAAAAAAAAGGCATGCAATAGGCAAATTTAGCTATTAACTTTCGATGCCAGCGGATGCCTTCGATTTTAAGTAGATTAGAACAGTTTAGCCATTTAATGATTTAATTTTAAAATGAAAATGCGAGGCTAAGACACAAATGTCCAGTACGGTGGTTACGATCAATGCACACATCTTGTCAAAACTACAACCATTAATAACTAAGCTCAAAATAAAGAAATTTGAATGGAAGTTTCAATGGATTCTTTTTGCATTATCTATTTGTGAAATCATATAGCAAGAACAGCAAGCTCTTTATCTAAAGGGAGCCACAGTGGCTAAGTGGGTAAGACGCTGGCTCGCTAGCCTGGAGGTTGCGTGTTCGATCCCTGCATTGACCGAGAAAGTTCATCAGGATTTTACGACGTGGTTTCCCCTTGTCTTGTCATTTCATTTCTTTATCTAAATCTTACATAATGTCCCTTTAAGAATTACTACCGGTATTAATAAATGTAGGTTAACAGAAAGAGTTGGATTCAGTTTATTTAACAAAATTATTGTGAGTGACTTTAATAAGCCGAATAGATTCTATGTGTTTCTTTTTACCAGACAATATATTTTTACATCGAGAATCATTAATATTCCCCTGACAAGACAAATACTTACCCGATTAATTCCAGTCGCCCAGTTACTTAGATACAGTCGTTAAGTGTTCACACTTCATGCCTGCTAATTCATCTGTCTTTGCCACTTCAGACATTTTTTTTTATTAAACTTGGAAATGTTTCATTCCCTTGGTTGCATTTGAATTTATTTT